TCTTGCCTTGTTGGAATATTCCTCTTTTCTCCTTAAGTGTCAGTCACACTTCTGTCACCCCTAAGCTGAGAAATACCTCCCAAAATCTCTGTAGCTGGCTGTAATTGTTTTTCCTCTTGCTAACTTCTAAAAGCCATTACATCTGCCTTAAAAGACAGCTGAAGTTTTTACTGATACTGTAGAAGGTGTTAATTTTTTGGGGGGAGGTACAGTTCATAAATACTTGTTAATGGATGCTGTGTATCTTTTATATTTTTAAGCCCAAAATCCTGCAAAGACTGTGACTCATTTTGTGATTTTCTGTGGAACTATTTAATTGCCAGTCTTAAATGTGTGCTTCAGTTCTTGTAGTGTCTAAGTCCAGCTCTTTTTAAAAGCTTGCTGGTAGGGGTGCTTGCCAGCACTCGGAAATCTGTGAGAGGGAGAGAAGGAGTTCGGATTTTTTTTGCTTGCTTCTGTCTGCCAGCGTCATGTCTCCCATACAAAATGACCAACTAACATGCTATTGATGATATGTCAAGGGGGGGAAAACAGATAATTAAATAGAATCTGAAGAGTCCACTAAATGGATTCTATTGATGTTTTGCCATTCAACAAGTAAATAATGCCAGTAAAACTTGGGCTGTAATTTAATCATATGTGAATTCACTTGACCATGGAGTGCCTTGTTTAAGTAGTTCCACTGTGTCTTACCAAAATCTTTTCATTTTAAAAAAAAAAAAAAGAATGAAACTGTAAAATGTTCACACCAAAAAAGTAGCTGAAATGTAGGGCAAAGCTTATAAAACTTGCATAAACAAAAATGGGGGAAAAGGACTTGGAAACACCAGAAGTATTAAAGAAGAGTGGTGGAAATAGTTTAACTTTTCAGATTACGAATGACCCTCTATTTTACAGGAAAGAAGAGAGGGCATAGAGTACATAGCTTCATGTACTTAAGGGGAGAAGAGGCTTCCAGGCTATGCTGTAAAAATAAAGTTTGAAGTCAGTCTTTGGCTTTGGTCCTCCTTTTGGTGGGGTTAAATCAGGATTTTTGTTGTTGACTATTGCAGAGATTGACTTCAAAGTGGAAGCAAAGAGCGGCTGTGTTACTTGCGGTAGTAAATGGTGCCTTATAACAGCCAGGATCTGACTTATTCTGTGTTTTGGATCTCAGAAATGCTTCTTCAGGTTATAGTAACAACCCATTTTGCTTAAAAGCCTCTTTATAGTAAAATTGCTGCTTCAGAGTGGCAACTAGGATAAAATGGTTCACAGTTTAAGAAAGCAACCTAGTGAACATCACTTGAATTCCTGGAGCTGAGCATACATCCCTATTTCAGTCCAGATATGTAGTAAGCTTTGGTTAATTTTGGTTTATTTATTTTTGGGGTAACTGGGTGTTCAGTACATAGCCTTCATGCATGGAAATCAAAGATTATTTCTGAGCTGAGCAGTAGTAAAAAGATGTAATGTACTGAGAGCCTCTTTGGGATTTGCAAGGTGACCGGTGCCTAGGGTCTGTGCTGCCTTGCTCAGCTCAGTGTGGAACGTAGACAGGGCCTCAGGGGGGATGGAGAACATGTAAAACACACTGTGGGATCACTTTGGTCTTTGTAGTTTTTCTCTTGCTTGTGTTTCGGAAGACAGCAGGCAGAGAGGTGCCACCTAAAGGCATTGCTGTTGTTGAAATAGCACTGAGACTTGGGCTGAGCCTCGTAAGGATCATGGCGCACTCTTCAAACATTAATTTAGTTTCATACTAACGAGGTAGAAGGCTACCAGGAATATTTACCAAGGCCCAGTTCTGAGTCCTGCGCTTGGGTCACAACAACCCCAGGCAATGGTGCACACTTGGGGAGGAGTGGCTGGAAAGCTGCCTGGCAGAAGAGGACCTGAGGGTGCTGGTGGACAGCCGGCTGAACATGAGCCAGCAGTGTGCCCAGGTGGCCAAGAAGGCAAACAGCATCCTGGCCTGTATCAGAAACAGTGTGGCCAGCAGGAGTAGGGAGGTGATCGTGCCCCTGTACTTGGCATTGGTGAGGCCACAGCTTGAGTACTGAGTTCGGTTTTGGATGCCACAGTATAAGAAAGACACTGAGGTGCTGGAGCAGGTCCAGAGAAGGGCAGTGAAGCTGGTGAAGGGTCTGGGGAACATGGCTTATGAGTAATGGCTGAGGGGACTGGGATTGATTGGTCTGGAGAAGAGGAGGCTGAGGGGGAGACCTTATTGCTCTCTACCTGAAAAGAGGTTGGAGTGAGGTGGGTGTTGGTCTCTTCTCCCAAGTAACCAGCAATAGGAGAGAGAAAATAGGGTTAAGTTGTGCCAGGGAAGGTTTAGATTGGATATTAGAGTTTCTGTACTAAAACAGTGGCGAGGCATTGGAACAGGCTGCCCAGGGAGGAGGTGGAGTCACCATCCCTGTGTACATGTGGTACTTGAGGACATGGTTTAGTGGTCATGGTAGTGTTGGGTTGATGATTGGACTTGATGATCTTGGAGGTCTTTTCCAACCGTAATGATTTTACAATTGTAAGTTTTCCGTAAGCACAAACTAGTAACTCTCTTCTACTCATCATATGTAGGGCTGGCTATCTGTGGTCAGAAACCATACAATTTAGCTCACCTAGGTAAGTCAGTGGTAAAAGCTGGAGTAGCTGGCTCCCCATCATGCTTGTAGAGCATTTATCTTGCTCAGAAATAGGCCATGTACTTTATTGACTACAGGAACAGGCAAATCTCTATCGTTTAGTAGTCTCTCAGAATTTAACAAATCTCTGCTGCCCACTGGAGCTGAAGTTTCTGCTCAAATGGTAACTCAGCTACTTTGTTGATTTGTGTCCAAAAAGACCCCAAACAAAAGCAAATGCTGCTTCAGCAGTTCAGGAAGAGAGACAAATGGGGAGCACGGTGCAGTGTGGTACGTGGTGGAAGTCATGGTGGGATAGAAGCAATTTCAAATTCACATTTCATGATAGTGGATTGCAGCTTGGTTCCCGACACTTTAATGTTCTTTCATAAGCCAGTTGTTTGTTTTTATGTATTTGGATCCACTTTGCAAGTCATGGGTAAAGATTTAGGTGAAGTAGGGCGTGACAGTGTGCTATGTAATCCTTACTGAAAAGGCAGGAGTTGGTTACAGAAAATTAATGGAGGAGTGGGTGCTATGAAACTAGAGTTCAAATGTGCTCCAAGTAGAAGTGATGTGGTGGGGGCAACAAAGTGTGGAGCTTAATGGAAAGCTGCTACCACATTACAGGGTATCCTTAAATGGTGGGGGCCAGGTACTGCTGACAAGTGGGGAGGAACAAGTAAAATCTAATATGCATCGAGGAAGATGCCATTTTTAACAGTAGGTTAAAATTTTTGAACCTGACCCCTTCAGGATTCTGTTGTTCCCTCCAGCAAGCAGTGTCTCAAGGTCCCTTAGCTTTCTGTGCTGTGGGAGCCTGTGGGGGAGGTAGCTGCTTACACACACTTCCAGGCCAAACAGGGGCTTATTGCCAAAATGCCAGAGTTCACCAACAAGAAATATGCATGAAAGAACTCGGCCAACACCAGAATTGGTGATCGCTAAATGCGTGGGATACATAGGAGTGGGGCCGGAGCTGTATGGGCCGGAGATGCTGTGTGGGGTGGTTCTGATGAGGCATTTGCCCCGATGGTGGCACCAGGGCTTGGGCAGCCAGTGCAAGTACAGGCGTCACAGCTTTCCCTTCTGCTGCCACGGCTGCCACGTGAGCTCTCTAGCAGGCATCTTCCAGAAGGCAGCATCGTAAAATGCGATGTGGCCTTGCAGTTACAGTGCTCGACCTCTTTTCATGCCCTTTTCCTCAGACAAAGCAACAGAGCTTCTTCTGGCTTTGCCTATGGGACCAGGACTTAGCTGAGCTTCTTTATGCTGGTGGCAAGAAGCCCCTGTGAGACTTCATCAATTTTTGTCAGCTTCATAAAGATCTAGCTGGCTAACCACTCTCCAGGTTCGGTTTGTTCTGATGTTTATGTTGTTTTCTTGGAAAGCCAGCCACACTCCTGTCAGGTTTATCGTAGACCTTACACAGTGTAAACAGAAGGTTACAAGAGCATGGTGCTGGCAGTGTGTGCTTGCTGTGGGCTTTGGTAGTCAGATGTAATGTGCTGGTTTTATTTATTTGTATGTTTATTTGCTCCTTGCTTGGGTAGCAGATCTCTGAAGCCATCCCTTAAATTGGTAGTTAGCATGTGTTAAGCATGTATTTTCACTGAGAGGTAGTTCTGAGGAATTTTTGAGGTGAGGAGGTGCACACATACAAGATGGGTGTGTAAGTCAGTACGATTTACCTTCTGCACACGCTTGGTTCAGTGGATGGTTGTTTGTGTTCTCTATGTGGGGCTTTTGTTGATGAGTACTGCCAAAGCATCAGAGTAACTACTTCTGGTTGTTTGCTTCATTCGTGTATTAAAATGCACTTCCCTTAGGGAGTCAGATTTCCCTGTTGTACCTTATAGTGGCACATGGGAAATCGTAGCTCATGGTGTTACAGGGTTCTGGAAGAACATTGCTTTATATAAAGTGTTTAATTAACAGATGAGTGGCTGGTGATACGTTCCTCTGCTAAAAAGAGGGACATCCTGGCATTTTCAGTGGCAAAATACAGAAGAAATACAGTAGACATAGCTGTAGGAGAGCTTTGGAGTCTTTCACTTGACCAGTAGAGTGTGAGAGCTTCTCTGCTATCCTTCAGACAAAAGCACATTCAAGAGCTAGACTGGCTAGGGCCCTTGCTTCATGCTCTTAGACAGCACATAGTCAGTTAATCTGGACATAGGTGGAAATGTTGAGACTGGAGAAGGTACATCCAGGCTGTTGTCAATAATGGGAATAAAACTGTCTAATATATTGCCAAAAAGCTTCTGAGAGTCTTGCATCAGTGCCCCATATATTTGTCACTGGTTTGTTGGTAAGTATCTATATGATGGTCATTTATGCCTGAGGGTTTGTTGTGAATTTATGACTATTTTTGCATGACAGGTCACAGTAATGAAAGGCAGTAGTAGGAATAAGGATCATTCTACAGAAGAAGGAACTGGGAAGCGACCAAAAAGAAAGTGTCTTCAGTGGCATCCTCTGCTTGCCAAGAAACTCCTTGACTTCTCTGAAGAGGAGGAGGAGGAAGAAGAGGAGGAAGATATTGATAAGGTAGACTTCATTGGATCCTTTGACCGTTGAAGGCTAATGGTGGGTCGGATTCTCCCTAGCTGTGCTTTTATTTTGTTTGCTTCTTTGCTGTTCTCTTCTTAACACAGCCAATAAAAAGAATTGATATTGTGCCCATAAAGCTATAGAGGCAAGCAGAAAATAACATGGAAAAGTGATTTGTCTGTCATGCTTTTAAAACTTTGGGCAAAATCTCTTGCTTAGAGTTAGACTGCAGGAGTTTGAACTGAGTTGTTTTAATAATGTGTAGTATATCTCAAATCTTAATTACTCAAGATGGTTTTTTTTACATGACTTGTTTATTTTAGACATGAAGTTAGCTTATGTTTGATATCTGCTTCTAGTGGCTCTAAGGACATACCTAGCTAATAGTTTTCTTTTTTTGAAGATCAATAAAGTACAAAGTTTAAAAAAGAAAAAGAAGGAAAAAGCTGTCAACAATTTTTACTGTCTTTGCATGTGAAATTCAATTTATCTTCCAGAATACTGAGAATACAGGTGGAATAATCTGTATCTGGTTTGACACTTGGTATTTGTTCAGAGATGCTGGCCTTTACCCTTCTTTGGTAAGGACCCCACAGTGTGGCACCTCACAAATGTAGAATTACTCATCCTCTGTAAAAAGAAGTGGGAATGCTTTATGGAGGTACAACACTTCTGTCATGTGGATAACGTTCCTATCTGCATTTCCTTGTTGCCTTCCTAGGGCAGGTAGGTGGAGGTCAGTGCTGAGGAGACTGCCTTGAGCCACACAGTGATAAGGAAGAGTGACCTTGACAAGGATAATGAGGAGCCTGATACTCTGCCAATGCTTTCTGTTTACCTTCCAGATCATTTTCACAACGTGTTATAAAATAGCAGTTTTGTAGTTCTGTAGGAGGTGATTTCTCTCTTACAGTAATTTGTGTTATTCGGTCAGAATTAGTCTTCTCTGGTGTGTCCTTTGTAGGACTGATACATGGGGTTGAAAGTGGAGAGAACATTTTTGGCAGTGTCTTCTTTTGAGATTTGCCCTCTGTCTCTGACTGGGCAGCTGTGCAGGTGGGTGCACTGCAGCACTGCTCACAGGCTGAGAGTGAGCAGCAGGGGATGGGGAAACCACTATTGCCTGTCTTACTTTCCTTCCTATGCACTCTGTAGCTGCAGAAACACATGATTGAATTTCAGGGAAGCTCTGCTCACTTCGTCCCACTGAGATAATTTCTAGGTTGTAGGAAGTGGGTGCGAAAGATCCAGCACTTGTAGAACTGTTACTAGAGAATGGTCCTCAGCTTAGCAATCTGCTTCACTTGAAGTTGGAGTTTTAAGTCTTTCAGAGTATGAATGAACTTCAGACCTTCAGGTTAGGAGGTTTGATGTAGAACTCCAGGTCTTCTGCATAGAATGAGTGGCCTGTCTAGCTGTGTGTCTCCATCTGCCTCTCCCTTGTTCACACAGGACGCGCACACACCCTCAGTCTTCATGAGAAGTGTGGGTAACTGAGTTTACACCCCTTCCCTTTCGGTTCTGCTAGGTGCCACTCCTTGGTGCTGATGGTTTAGAGCAGGATGCTGATGAGACTGAAGATGATGAGTCCTCAGAGCAACGAGCTCGCCGACCAATGAATGCATTTCTCTTGTTCTGCAAGCGCCATCGCTCTCTTGTGCGAAAAGAACACCCTCGGCTCGATAATCGTGGTGCAACCAAGATCTTGGCAGATTGGTGGGCTGTTCTAGACCCAAAGGAAAAGCAGAAATACACTGACATGGCTAAGGAAGTACGTTCCGTCTGAATGGTGGATGTAAAGGGAGTTCGTTATGTATTTGTCTGTCCTGTGTTTCTCTGTGTGTTGTTTTCTGTCCCTAAGCTCCTCAGCTTCCCTGGTGGGATTGTGGTGCCCAGAACAGCTGTTCTTGCTTTTGATTCACTTGGTTCATTGGACCATAATGAAAAGAAATTGGTCTGTATATACAAATTAACCTGGCTTTAGTAGTCACTGGTACAAATAGGTCGAATTTGTGGTAGGTATCACCTGGTAATTCCTGCAGCATAAGCATTAACACGTGCATAATGTGTGGGTAGTGGCTACTGAGAACACGTACGTACAGTTCAGGCTCAGCTGACTGGTGATGCTTGGCTCAAGCTCTGCGTTTGCTGTCGATAGTACAGGCCACTGTGATAATACAGGGGAACCAAACCAAAAGCGTGGTCAACAATTGTATTCCATTTTTACCTTTGGTGCTAAGAATTTAAAAGGCAGTAGTGTATCATGAAGTACTCTCTGTATGTATTGTTAACCAGTTTCTGGTTAACACCTTTGGTGAGACAGAATCTAATACCCAAACCAAAGAGCAGTTCATAGCCAGAGTCCTTCAACAGGGAACAAGGAAAAGAGACTTAGCCCTGTATTTCACTAAGTAGCTTAATGTCAACTTCAAAGGTAAATGAAGCTTTTTAAGAAATAGCTTGCTTGGTAAGCTCACCCTAAGAAGGCTGCAGGTGTTGATAGTAGAGTGAGAGACACATGACCAGTTACTTAGGCTGATAATATCCCCCTAAAACAGATCTCTGTCATTACCTGTGTGTTGTAGATTTGGGCTAGCTGTTGAATTCTTGTCTTAGAAAAAATGCTGGAGGGCCAGTGAGAAGGAAGAACTGTCTCATTTGTCCAGTGCTGCTAGCACACTGGAAGTAGTACATACAGCTGTGAAACGACTGGGGAAGCCATCACCTGGACCTGCCCTGGCACCCAAAGTTGTTCGCTGCTATTAACATATGTGTATAAGGTCTGGCTGTTCAGTAGTTTGTGTGAGCATGGAGAGGTCTACAGGAAAAACAGTGTGTCCTACATGGCAGGTCCTATTTGAAGCAGGATCTATAGCTGATCTGTAGCTGTTCCTCATCTGTGTGACACAGCGCTGAGATACTCCAGTCTCAGCTTTGTACAGCCATTCCTGATAAGTTCTGTGTTCCCTCTTAAAAATTAGTGATGCTTCTTGAAATGTGTGGGAAATGGCCAGTTAGAAAATCCAGTACAGATACAGAGGAAGGAAAGATGAAAATAAAGAAATAGTTTTAGGAAGAAACAAACCTGATGTGACTGTTTTTCTTAGACTTTTGTCTTAGTGAAGGAAACCCTTTAATTAAGAAGGAAAATAATTGCAAAACTTCTGTATGAAGTGATGGATCTGAAACTATTAATCATATAGTTGTAGAAATCGTTCATACAGTGATTTATTTTTCTTGGCATGAAGAATAAATTGCATATTCAACATCAAAGCAAAGCAATAAATCTAAGTAGTTACATCATTACAACTAGTTCCAAGAATGCATAGAAGGCAGAGTATAATTTTTATCCTTAAACAAGTGTGTTAAAACAATAATTAGCAGCTGTAGTATGCTGTGGAATATAGTTGGGCCTTCTTCACCAACAGGCCTATTCTTTCTGTGTGGATCAGTTGTTTGATTTTAACACTTGCTTTTAACTTGCAGTTAAGCATAGTGTTGAGACAATCAAAAAGATGTTACTATCAACTCTAGTGTAAATCATTTATTGATATTTTTCATCTACCTAAGGCCAGCTGGTTAGAAAGTCGAGACAGTGCATGCATTTGAAAGGACATAAAATTACCATTGTACCAATAATCTTCTGTTTGAGTACCTATATGTATAAGCTCATTGAGACTTAAAATACAGTGGATGAGCTTCTGTTACTTAAATGTGGCTTTTCAGTGGCTTTAACTTCCAGTTTTCACAACATAGCCTCTAGCCAGTGCCCTGGCAGGGCACACATCTCCCGAAGGGTCCTGTGCCATATCTGCTACCCCAATAACGTCTTGTATACCCTGAGCATCTGAACTGCTCTTCCAGAGAGCAAATGGGCCCAACAGGAGTGTTCCCTAATGCAGTGGCTACCATCCCTGTTATTTAAGAATGCTTTTATTTCTTGAAGCCAAAGCTTACAAAACCAGCTAGCTTAGATTGTGCATCAGGCAAGTATCTTTCTGTTTCTTATCTGCTTTGTACCAGCAGTGATTCTGTCTCAGCAGTATGCAAATCAAGGCATTTGTGTATTTACATATTTATGTCTAGCTCTGTGCAAAGGGTAAGATTTTGGAAGATAGTGAGGCACCCAGACTTTTTGTCAGGTGGAATTATGAGAAGTTTCCTAGTGGGTTGGACATCTATCACTAATTCCCACCAAGAGCATAATCATGTCTATATTTCATTTAGGCACTTGTGGAAAATCCTATTATGTACCTGTCTGCACCTTGGGGTGCTTTAATTATCTAGAAAACCCCCCCCTCGTTTCAGTCTTGTGGTTTATGGACTTTTGTAGCAACATTTGCCCTGGAGACCTCATGCTGCGCTTGCAGAACTCAGTGTCAGCTTCTGTTGGTGTTTTCTTTAGGAGCACTGTTTTTATTTGTGTCCTAAGGACTTCTGAGATCAACTTAATTTTTAAAGTTTCCTTCTCTAGGATATAAGCCTAGTAGCTGATAAATACACCAAGTAGAACACAAGTGTTCCTGCCATTTGTTAGCATTTCCCTTCATTGAGGGGGAAATGAATTCTGGCCACTGATAAATATGCTCCAGCATTTTTAGTTGCTACAATAATAGGAGTAGTGTTCTTCTGTTAACTCTTACAGTGCTGAGTGGGAATATTCAGCTGCCTTGGAAAATACCCAGTGAGATTATTATTGTTCAAGCCCTGTTTCCTTTGTTAGAAACATGGCATTTTAAATACATCTTTGTATCTGCAAGGTCCAGGCAGTTGGGATTGTTTCTTGTAGGGAGCAGCCCTACAAATCCAGGGTGCTGCCATTCAGTGGCAGAGCTGAACATGCCTCCCTGCAAGTGCTTGGCCAGCGGTCGCCCGGGTGCAGTGGGCCCAGCTGGGAGTTCGCTGTCCTTGCCATGCTGCTGCTTTGGCAGCCACCTCGGGCTCGGAGGGGACAAATGTTCTGGCTTGCTGGCTGGAGTCTGGCGACTTCCCTGCCTGATGCACGGGCTGTAACATGTGATGAGAGCCTGGAATCCTTCAGGAGTGAAAACCAGAGTGTAGTATTTTCTGGGGATTCTTTGTTTTGTTTTGTTACATCTCTGAGATTCATGTGACATTTAATAACTAGTTGGTGGGATTTAAGCATGCATTTAAAGTTAGGTACATGCTAACTGCTACCCTGAGGTGTAGCTGGAATCCACTTGTGAGCTCCTGTTCCCACCACACTGGAGAAAGCACATCTTTTCTTTTTTTTTTTTTTTTTTTTGGTTCAGTGATTAGAGCAACTCAAGGAGATGACTGAAGGTGCAGGGCCTTTTTTAACACAGCCTGTTCCTTTTTGTCTTACTTGAAACTTGCTGACATGATCCTGCTGGGCTGTCCCTGCCACTCGTGTGGGAACCAAAGTGGTGTCTTTGCCTTCCAGGTTAAGGACTTAACCTTTGTTTGTTTTGTTTTGTTTTTAAAGCAACTTTGGAGATGTCCTTAGGCTGGTTGTGTTGAGCGTTTACTTCACAGTTGGTCAAATTGACAGAAACAGTTGAGCTTGGCTGTCACCCTTGGCATTTTCTCACTACTGTGTAGCTCTGTTTAACTACTGTGTAGTTATCTTATCATGACCTGGCAAGCAGAATCTATCACTTCATTTTAGGCCTTGGTTTAATAGTCACAAAAATCAATACTGACAGTCTTTCTGACATTCAGATCAGGCCTTTATGCATTTTATAAAACTACTTCTTGGCCATTGTTGAGCTTCTTACATTTATTTTTAATTTATCTTGAGTGTTGAAACTGTGAAAGGAACTGATGAGTTTTCCTCCCTCAGTTTGCTCCCTCCCCCTTCAGAAAGTCCAGTTAATGTTCACTTCTTGGCTTTGCAGAGGAAAAAAATCCATTAATACACCAGCTCACTTGAATTGCTCTTGTTGGAAACTGATTAAAAGCTCATTGCTGCCTCGTCTGGCAAATAACACACAGTCAGCTTCTCACTTGATGGGCAGCCTGTCGGCTTGTCACATTACTCCACGGAGTAATTCAGTTGCCTAAAGCAGCAGCCGTGCCGATGGGAAGCGCTCTGTGCCTCGCTGCTGGCGGCGCTGCGCCTGCCCCGCGGCAGGCTGGGGACGGGGCCTGTGGGTGGGCTGCGGCTTTAACAATGGCAGGCAAAGCTCCTCACCGGGGGCTTCCTTACCGCCTTGTCCCTAGCCCACTCCCCTCCCCTCCACTGGGCGATTTGTGCGGTGTGCTGACCTCCCAAACCAAACGGAGGGAAAGGGGCGAGGTGAGAGGTGTCCAAGCCCTTCGTTGGCAGATTTAGTAGGTAGCACCGACTCGGAGAACACAGTGTGTATGTGGGTCAGCAGTCCCCGCAGACTTCCATTATTTATAGCCGCCGCTATAAATGCAGGCGTCACGCAGGGGCTCACGCTGCGCCGCTGGTGGACGGACGCGGTTTTATCCCTGCTGCAGCCTGGAGGTACCAAGAGCCAGCTGTAGGGTGGGGTGGAGACGAAAGTCAGTGATGCCCATGCGATGGTGATCCTGCCACAAAGATTGCCACTTACTGGTCTGGGGAGGCACTGCAGTGACTCTGCTTCAGCAGAGGAGAAAGTTTTCAGTGCTGTTTCTGTAGTTGACACCTGGGGGATGTTTTTCCCCTCTGCATGTTTCTGGGAAGGCATGGGTCGCGACAGGAGAGACTTCCTGCAGCTGCCCTGCCACGGACTCCAGGATAAAATCACTGTTTTGACCATTTGCCACCATCAAGAGCTACCTAATGCATGAGGAGGTATTGAGTTCCTTCTCCCCACAGTGAGCACTGGTACTTACTGGGCAGGCTCCCCTCTCAGTTTCAGCTGGAATGCGTGGCATGTTCCTTTCTCATTTGTCCATTCTCCACCTTGCATAGCAACACATTTAAAAGTGCTTTTTTTATTGCTGTCAAAATATTTGTTTTGGTCTGATCAGTAAGATACTTGAAAAACGTCACTGCTGCATTTTGTGAGTAAAATAAGTCCCCATCCTTCCCCCTACTCCCAAACCGTGTAGGATCCAGACCTTTTCCCCCATTCCTCCCTCATGTAGTCTGACTTTGTTCCTTTTGGTACCTCATACTAGGGACATAGCAAACCACTGACATGTGTGCTGTGTGCTTCAGGCCAAGTAAAGTTTTAAATGATCCCCGTTTATTTCATGCAGCCATGACATATGGTACATATGGGAAGGAACAGTGAGATGATGCATTAGAAGTTACTGAAAATTAGATGACACTGGTAGTGGTTTATTTTTGGTGCCTGGTTTGTGAAAGCACATACTCAAATATTCTGAAATACAGAACTATTACAGTGTCTTGCCAGTTACTAGGCCCAGCATGAATGACACAGCCAGCAGAAAGACAAACCAGTAAATTGACTGTATTGAATATAGAAAGGTCACTCCACGAATAATTGCCGGGCATACAAATAAGCCGATTGGTTCACACGCAGTTGACACCACCCCCAACGACCCCCACAACGACACTGCTCGGCCGGCAGTAGGCAGAACAAATAAGGAACCGAGGCTTCCCATAGATGGAATGGGAAACAGCCAGGTCAGCAGGTTAATCACATAGGGTAAAGGTAGCCACATGGCCAGCTCTCACCCTCCTAGCCCACTTTTGCAAAGTCTAACCTGACCAGGGCCCAGTTCCAGGAGAGTCAGGAGGTCCTTCCCCAACCACGAAACTCGGTAAAGTGTATCCACTTCACAGGTAGACTCTCCTCCCTTCCTGCAAGTGGTCCCAGCTTTTATCCCCAAGCAGACACCTGACCTTTGTTCACTCAATGCGGGACCCCTGGGGCTCATTTCCCTCATGGCTCTCCCTGGAGAGCCGGCCGCACCCTGGGGGGAAGCTATAAGGCAAACTCACCACCTCTGTATGAAGGGCTGTGGGAATCACCCATATGTCAACCTTAATCTGGGGGCTCGGGGTTCAGACCCCAGCATTTCATACAGAAAAATGAGTGCAAAGTAGGGAGCATCATGCTGTTAAATTGCTAAATGTAGGTTTATTGCTGAATGTATGTTCTTCTCTCATTCAAACTAGAAAGTAAACAAAGATTGCACCTGCAAAAGAATTCAGATAGCTGTTTTTGTGTTCCTTGGAGGGTGAGCATACAAGTAGTGGGGAGCAGGGTGCAGGTTCAGAACTTCAGCCTGCTCTGATGCTCATAAGTGCTGAGGACAGGAAAGAGAAAACTCACTTTTTAAAATACAACTCTACTTATCTTAAGATTTTTTCTTACTAAATTGTGTTAGTGGTCAGACTCTAAGCATGTGATTAAACTGTTAAAAAATCAAGATATTTAAGGATTATTTACTGTGTTAAATCCTCTTACATGCAGTGTACTCTATTGCCCTGTGGGTAGTATAATATCATGACTGGCATGACTGCTGATTTTCCTTTTCTTTTCTAGTACAAGGATGCATTTATGAAGGCAAATCCAGGGTACAAGTGGTGCCCAACGACAAACAAACCTGTGAAAACCCAGACATCTGCTGTTACAAACAGGAAAAAGCTATGGGCTTTTGCATCAGAATCTGCAAAAGATTTGCCAAGCCCGAGGAAAGGGGCAAAAAGTGAAGAAATGCCACAGCTTAACTTCGGGATGGCAGGTGAGGTTTCCATCCGTGTTACTTGGAGCATCCTTGTTTTGTTAGAAGATGTGCTTTTGAAATGGAACTGTGATGCTAGCTTTATTCACTGCACATGGTACTGTACTGCAAATACCTTTCATGGCCCAAATTAAGTTGCCAAGAGTGTAGTTAGACCTCTGTAGTTAGACCTGGTAACCACTTTCTGAAGTTTTCCTTAGTGCATGATTGCTTTCAAGAGTCAAGTGCAGGTATGTGACATCATAACCCATACTCCACTGGGGCTCCAGATTTGATTGTTTTTTAATTCCAGTTTAACTACTGTTAGAGATTTTCATTTTCTAGTCAAAAAGGAAAGTGCTGATAGTGTGCATTCTTTTTCTCTTTCACAGAGCATTGTACTATGTTCAGTAATTTGCTGTTTACAGAAGTAATTCATGGGTGCCTATGAGGTTGGAAGTGTTAACATTCTTGTGGATGAATACGCTGGTGGAACTCACATTTTGTATTTAAATCAGGAGAAGCATAATTTAATTTAACTTAAAATACGCTCTTTTATGCTTTATACCTCGAAGGGGCAGATTCTAACCTTCTAAAAATTAAAAGAAACCAACCAAATCCGTGCATAAGTGTAGGTGCAGTGCCTGAACTGGTGAAAGGCAGATAATCTCTCACTAATATCCAGAAATAGCAGAACTGTTGGAATTACGACCTTGAACAACAGACACATTAATGTGAAGTACTGGCAGCTTAAAAACCTAACAGTCAAGGCATAAAATAATTCTACCTCCACCACACTTTTTTTTTTTTTTTTCCCTGGGTTTAAAGTTCCTAATTTCATAAATAATAATGTATTTGAAGCTTTGTCATATCCTGTCTAGTTTACAAGAAGTTTGTGGCAGATAGGACTTTTCTGCTTGGAGAGATCATGGGCTGGAGAGTGGAAAATGGTTTTATGAAACAAATATAAAAGGATGAAAGGGGATAAAAAGGCATGTATACCTTTATGCTAGTATAGTGGTATGAAAATTCCTGTGAAGGAATTCCTTCTGGCTGTGAAGGAATGGTGAAATGTGATCAAAACAAAGTTTTCATGCTACATAGTACTGATGTATGAGAGGCCAGCTCTAAAAACTGCAAGCCCCTAGCTTTTGCTATAAGAGTAACTTCTGTGCTCCCCAAGCATTTGTTGACTTAAGCACAAGTAACGGTTCTTGGTGTAGCTGTCTGCCATCCCCCACCACTGCTGCTGGGCTAGCCAAATGTAGAGCTTTTGAGTACAGAGAGACCTTGAACCAACACCTGTCAGAGCAGAGGACAAAGAACTTAAGAATTAATTGGAAACTAATCTAATAAATTCTTTTATCTATAGAGCCATTGTTTGCTGAAGAAGACCTTTTAGTGCCATGTGTAATTTAATTTTTTTACTTTTATTGTTTACCTTTTATACTGCAGGCTGAATCAGTGAGCTGACTGGTGCATAGGGCTCTTGCTCCAGCCCTTGTGCCAAAGGAGGCTGGCTGTTTCTTGAGTACAACAGGAGCTCATAAAATAATGACAGCTTCTGACAGAGATGTCAGTAGCATATAAATCATGACAAGTCTGCTATGCCAAACGGATTTACTGTTTTGTCAACTATGTACCAGTTGGTGCTAAATACGTTTTGGTGTGTTCTTCTCTCCTTGACTTCATGTGATAGTTAATTCAACTCTGACTCTTCTGTCCAGCACAGCCCCTTCTAAAATCCAGGCTGTATAGTAGCTGATGAGCTAAAATGTAGCTGAACCACCTCAGAAACACTTTTACCTTTGAAATGTCTATCTTGCATCTTAAAAGTAGATACCTTCCTTAGGACAGGGATTATGAGATTCCAGAGGCATTCCAGAAAATCTGTTTTACTTGTTGGTAGTTGTTACTCCTGTCTTGATTGCTTTTTACATACTACATTTCATTTTGGAAAATGTAATAGATAAAGAGTAATATCTTAGGTCTCACACAAGCTATATCTCTTCTTCATTTTTGGCATTCCAACAGTAACCACCCCACTTGTAAGTCTCTCATGTTGACCAGTCAGTGTGTTGAGAACCTGAGGTGTCGTACCAGCACTGGGCTTCTGACCTGCAGACACACTAGTGCTGTTGTTGCTCATCCAGCCTGGAAGCTGTACTGGAGCATGTGTTTCTCATGACACAGCTCCCCTCTGGTCTGTTACTGGGTGTAGGACAAAGCTGCTGTTTGCAGGTGACCGTGAGCATCGCAGAGTCACAGCTACAGAGACAGGCAAGCAGCAGCTCGGCTGTGCAGTGTGCAAGGTTCCCAGAGCTTTCACATTTCTGCATCAGAAGAAACCAGAAGAGCTTTTTAGTGGAGAGTGGAAAAAAGGCACTTCCTAGAGTAGACAATACCCTGATAGAGATGCAGTTTTTGTTTTGTAGAAAGAAGCTTAATTCTGTACCCAGGTAAAAACTGTGTGAAGCTGCTACCCGCTGGCTGCCTTCCTGCTTAGTTCTTTCACAGTTCTTTCTTTCCTCTGACTGACAAATTGCGATGAGGGACAAGCCAGGCTGCTGAGTATCTAACCAGACCCGTGCTAACAAAGTATGCTGTTCCCAAATACCGAGGTGATTTTAAGTTTCATCAACATTAAAAGCTTTTGAGAAAGTCACGCATTGCCTCCCATTCTGCACGTGTGCTGTTGTCACTACTGTTGATTTAACTGTAGATTGCTTGAAAATAGTACTTAAACTTCCTAATTCTTCATACCAGTAAGCTCTTAGTTCCATAAAAGAAGTATTGTTTTGCTGAGAAGACACCATAAAGATATGGCAATGTTTGCATTTGTACATTTTGTCTCCTCTTGGATTAAGTTTTTATTTGAAACTTCAGTGGAAGGATTTTTATCATGATCAGACATTTAAGCACCAGCCTTCTGTTACAGCTGTAACTTAAATATTCAAATTGTTTAAGCACCAAATTAAATTTTCGCTTTCCACTTAGCTGTCATTTTTTTCCTTCCGCTTAAATTTAATATTTAAATAAACAATTTAAGTATTTGCTTGTTTGCAAAGAAAACAATCCTATTCTTATCCTGTTATGATAAGCTACTTACTTGAAGGGCAGAGAGCGGAGATCACCAAGAATTTATTTAGAAGAGGGGAAATGAGCTAGATATTCTCCAGTTGGCCAAAACTCAGGAGGGGGAAGAAGTCTCACAGGTAAGTGTAGTGAAGCACAAGAGAGCTGCTGGGAGCCATCAGTGTGATGTGGGCATAAGGAGCTACTGTACTGCAGTGTGTCAGGCAGAGTCTTTTCAGGAACTGTAGAGAAGAGTTAATGCTATTGAAACAGAACACAGCTCATCTGATGTGGCTGCCTTGTGAGTCATTCACATACAAGAGAGATGGACTCCACCTGGAGCAGCTGAAGAGGAGAGCTACGGGGATTGCTGGGACCATGAGAGATGGACATGCTTGATGGCCTCAGGAGATCTTGAGTGGCTTAGGCTAGGACAGTGAGTGGGAGGAGGGTAGGGTGACTCCTAAAAACACAGAAGAGGGAAATAACCATTTAGGGAGAACAGTTATTTAGTCATAAAAATTTGGGCACCAGAAAAAAATGTGTATCACCTGGCCCTGGGTAAATTTATGCCAAAAACCAGAAGAAAACTCTTAATAGTTAAAAGATTTGGGTTCTGCATCAGCCTTCCAATGGGAAAAAAGAAAGTAGACAGCAGCCAGCCAAGCCTTCCTCCAAATTAACTGCCTCCTCAGGCATTGTCTTTCAAGATACATTTTCATTTTTGACAACTTAATTGCACTGCTGTCCTCATGTTTGAAGGACTCAACAGTTTCTGATCAAGTATTTTGATGGCAGAAAGTGCTGTGCTGACAGAATCGCTTCACTTACAAATTGTGCTTAGGTACTGGCTAGCCCTTCCTAGTTTCTGTCTCTAGTTCTTCAGCCCCTTCTTGTTAGTAGATCCTACATTACTGATAGTGCCTTATCTCTTTGCAGAAACTGACTATTTATTCACTTTTATATTTAAAAAGATTTAAAAAAAAAAAAACAAAACAAAAAAAACAAACAACAAACCCACACACAAAAACCAAACCTATAACACACATACACACACCACCTTCTGTTTATTATGGTAAATAAGTTGAACATTGGGTTTGAATCTGGATGCCATGTTCTTAAGATAAAGAGCCACTCCTCTCTCCTTGAGATAGTAGATGAGTCTGGTTTATTCACATTGCTTTCCTCTGCTTCTGTTTACTGTTTTAAGAGAGTATTGAGAAAACGTACTGCTTGGATGTCAGTGAGATGCTGTCAGAGGGAGAGTTATTGGCATCGTCTGTGATATTGAATTAAATAGCACCAGTGAGTGTTTGCATGAGCTGAACCTTGAATCATCTGTAACACTAAATCCTTTGGAGGTTTACAGGTATAGGTTTGGCCCATGTCAGCTGAAAAGCTCAACAAATTCCTCAGCACCATTCATGAGTGGGAATGGTCCAGGGAATTTCCCAGTAGGCATTTTGTTTGCAGCTGTTGTGCATCCAAATTTTGCATGACAAAATGCAAACAAAGGGACAAAGGTAATTGTGCCAGTTGGCCTCCATTACAAGGAATCGTCCTAGGCACCTGTAACTTAATGCTGTAGAGAGAGGTTTTGTATGGTTCAGTGAAAGGAAATTGGAAAGTGTGAGTGCATGCTTAGTGGAACCTACAGAAATTTACTTATCTCTGGTGTCTCATCATTACTGAAGCTGGTGTCTCAACAATACAGCAAGGATAATACTTGCTTTTCTCTCATGTTGTGGCTGTTGTGTGAGACATGTGGGCCACAGATTATATTCCTTCCTCTACATGACACCGTTAAATCGAACCCCCGTGTTGCTTCCAAGGCACTCCCCCAAAATCGGGCAACTAGGCTTCGTAATGATTGAAGAGCAACCACTGTTTTGAGTGGGAAAGCCACGCCATGAGTAATGCAGAGCCAGCGGTCCTTGCTTTCACTTCTTGTCATTTCCCAGGCTCCCGAGGTGTGGAAAGGCTGGAGGAAAGAAGCTGTCAGCATCAAATAGTTGGAGAAAGAACACTTGTATTTCCATTTTACTTTCCTCAATTATATATTGTATTGGCAAGGCAACAAGTAGGCAGGCAGCTTGCCTGGCCAGTGCCCGTGCTGTTCTGGCACAGAGGATCAAGCACTTCATGCTTCAGAGCTGTCAGGCTGGCACTTTTCACCACAAAATGCAACCCTAAATTAAAGCTAAATTAAAATAGGAATTTTACTTCAGAGCTTGATCCTGTCTTTCTGTTCTGTCTTTTTACTTGTTCAGTGTCTAAAGAAGGGAACGTCTCCCTCAGTAGGAGCATCCACTGAGCTATTAGTGTGTGTGATATTAGGGCATCTTTGTGTATATTTATGTATGAGATCATTACACTTGATATTTTAAAGATACGCATCTCTGTAAGTACACAAAACCTTTGGCAGTAATATTGTAAATCCACGCAATGGGGTGTTAAGCACACAAATCCAATTAAATCTTTCAAACAGCTTTGAAAGCCTCTCCCAGAGGGTACAGAAATGGTTATTTGCGATTCTCTTGAACTGCCTTTTATGGCAGCTTGCTTGGAGTGTCTGTGACAAGTAGTCTTCTGGGGGTTTAAAGCTGCAAATGGTAGGTTCTTTAAACATGCAAATCAGTAAACTTAAGATTTGGTTTTACTCTTTTAACAGATCCTACACAAATGGGAGGCCTGAGTATGCTGCTTCTAGCAGGGGAACATGCCCTGACTGCACAAGAGGTAAGGAACTCTCTTGTCTACCTTACTGTGAGCCCTCAGTTTAAAGGGAGCTCTGAAGGGGAGTATTTGACCAGCGGGAAATGAAAGGTTAAGATACATCTTGACTAATGTCAGGTGGGACTGAAGTGTGACCCCGGTGATACGAGTCTTGTATCCCAACTGTGAACATGGAGCTTGGGCCCAGTCTTTATATCAGTTCAACATACACTCTACTAACTGAATATTTGATCAGACCAGGCAAGCCTGCCCTGTGAGATATTGCCACAGGGAAAAAGGTTGAAATACAGTGATTGTGTTAACAAACAGGTGATTTGCAAGCTTTTTTGGGCAAGGATTTCATAATGCTTGCGCAGTGCAAACACAACTGTGGCCTTGTCATTAATAGTAAAATAAATACCTAGTCATTTTCATACAGTCTGTGTCATTGTATATACATTCTGCAAATGCTAACAAGTAATCAAAGTATTGCAGGCTACTTCTGTTCACTAAGTCTTTGTTAAAAATTTTGTAGTTTGGTTGCCATCACAAGTTTGTTTTTACAAAGGAGTCTAGTAAATAAAAGTGTTCCTGCCTGTCCCCACTAGTGCAGAGACCTCATGTCTTTCTTTAGACTATGTTATGGCTATGTTTAGACTATATTAGATATGACCTATGTTCTGGGCCAGCTTTGAAAATTGCTCAAAATGTGGCTCGTATATTGAGTAAAGTAAGGTGTTCACTGCCATAAATCTCTAGCCTGGAAGGAAGAGAGGTGGGAGTGAGGGTTTCTTTTGTTGTTATCAGTGGTGGTGGTTGTAATTCGGAGGAAAAGCAATAATTAACCTTGGGCATGTGGACAGAGAAGACATAAGATGTTGATTTTTGCATGTCTGTGGGACAACCTGTGGTTGGATTTCCATGCTTTTGCTTGAAGATAGCTTCATGCTCAAACCAGTGTTTGGGCAGTTAGGAAAACATGCTAGGAGGTGCTGTGACTGGTTCAGTAAGAAGCTCAAGAATTCATTGTAGAATTGGTTAGCTGCTTTCATCTTCATTGGAGAGGAGTTAGTTGTGTTAGAGTGGGTATTGACTTGGGGGGGAATTTGGTGTACTAAGATGATTGCTGAGGTATTGTCAGTGAAGAGGTTCAGAAGTTTCTTCACTGTGGAAAATAAAGATTTTTTTTGTATCTGTATATTAATATATGTCATATATCTAAAACTCTAGCATTTCTATTTAAAAAAAGACTTGCAGTGTCATTTTTAAGAGAATAGTCTAAATGTTATCATGTAGTCTTCATTATCATAAAAATGTGTGTGTATGTACACATAAGATATACGTGTATGTATGGTTCTTAAACTCTAGGACTGACAGACAAACATGAGACTCCTTGTCAACATGCAGGTTGATTGCTCGTGATTATGCAGACTTGGAAGCCTTGTAGTCATAGGTCTTAAATACTATTATTACCTTAAAAATTGTTAATAAAAAGAAAGGTAGCACCAACATAATTTGCTTAGAACTCGGGAGAAGATGAGGGAATTTATACTTGGAGGTCTCCTAGTCCCATGGCACTATTCAGCGCCCACTGATTCTCTGTCAAGTGTATGTTAAATGGATCTGTAGGGACTTTTCAAGTCAAGTATTTAACCTTCAAGTTGTCACAAGCCCAGATGGCAGATAACAAAGTGACCCACCAGCAGGATGATGGGAAGAGACACAGCAGTGATATTTACAAAATTGCCATGAAGCTTCAGTCACCATCTCCGTACGTCACAGATTAGGTTCCTATTTTGAGAAACTTTTTCAAGTTTCTCAAAGAAAAGTTTTATTTCTCAGAAAGTTTTATTTCTGGTAACAGAATTCAGTGTTAGTAGATAACTGATTTCCAAGGAGTAGCTTGAGTTACTAAGCAGGCCAGAAGAGTTACAGACCTTACCAGGAGCAAACAAAGGACGTGGATATGCAGGGACTTTCCACCTGGGTTTTGGGTCCTTTTACTAGTTCCTCAAGACTGTGGTGTGTATGCATACGAGCATTATTTTGTTGAACACCCGAGCAGAAACACCAGACGGGTCTTCTCCCCCTGCTGTCGTCGTGCTGGGCCAAAGCCTGTTCCTCACAGCAGGTGTGTCAGCAGAAGGCCTGGAGCTGGGTGAGGCGCGAGGCTTGCTTCTTCGGTTGCCCGCTGGCCTCCCTGCTCTGTCTCTCACTTGCCCGTCAGGCCCTTTGCTTGCCTTACAGCAGCACCTAGTGGCCTGTCGGGAGGTTACTGCCCAGAAATCCCAGAGCTTGCCGCGTAGTCCAAAACCTGCTTCTCCTGACAGTTTCCCCCCTTTCCGCTGGGAGAAGCAGGTTTCACAGCAGAACAGCTGTAAAGCCTCACATCAGTCAGTGCGGGGTGTAAACCAGAAGAGAGAAATCTCTTGGTGTAGCTGAGGGTGAGGTGGGAGGTGGAAAGAGGAGAAGAAGGAGAAGTTGAGGATGTTTTATTAGAGCAGGAAGTGAGACATACGCAGTGGCACTGTGCGTGCATCCGTTCCTGCCGGTAATTATCTTAATGCTTTGACGTTCAGCCTGGCAGAAGCTAGAAGTCCTGGAGATAATACATTTCCCACAAGTCAGGAATGTGTGGGGTGCAGCAGAGTAGAAGAAACAAGCTCAAAGCAGTGTTTCTCTCAAGCCAATGCAACAGTGTTAACGTTTTAGAGCTAACGGAAAGTGATAGGAAAAGTATGGTTGTTCTAACCACGAAATTGCCTGCGAGTTACTGGGCAGCAGCAATGTGTCCTACACAAAGCTGTAGGAAACTGGACTTCACACCTTTCATGGCTTACAGTTCCTGTACTGCAAGGCGAACAAGCTGTACCTGAGGCCAGCGGCAGGAGCTGGTGCCCCCC